CCCTTACATCGCCTGACGAAGTCAGGAACTCCCTTCGTGTTTGGAGGTGAACAGAAGAAGGTCTTTCAGGAGCTAAAAGAGCGATTGGCTCATGCTGAGACTTTGGGGTACTTCGACATAGATGTCCCAACCCAAGTAACTGCCAACACCAGCCCAGTTGGACTGGGAGCAGTACTGACCCAAAAGCAGAAGAATGGACTAAGCGTCATGTGCTATGCAAGTCGTAGTCTGACAGACACTGAGAGAAGGTATTCGCAGACAGAGAAAGAGGTGCTGGCACTCGTATGGGCCTGGGAAAAGTTCCATCCCTATGTGTATGGTGTGCCAAAGTTATTTACAACCCAAGGTCAAAACCCTGTACACGCATTGAAAGATGGGTGCTATGAATGCAGCCATACAAATTCAAGGTCAAGTATGAGTCTGGGCCAAGTAACATTGCTGACCCTCTCTCAAGGCTAGTGGGAAATCTCAAAACCAGCAACAGTCACTCGGTTGAAGCTGAAGAATATGTCAGATTTGCAGCCATAAATGCAACTCCCTGAGCTATGACTACACGAGAAGTGGAAGAGGTCTCAGCAATCGACAAAGAACTCTGTGCAGTCAAGGAATGCTTAAACGGAAAACCGTAGGATCAGCTAGCTTACAAGAGATACCTCCCGTGTAGTGGTGAACTGTGCAACATTGGATTGTTGATACAAAGAGGGACACGAATCGTTATCCCGAGGAAACTCAGACCCAGGGTGTTGTCCCTTGCTCACGAAGGTTATCTGGGCATCGTTAGAACCAAACAGAAGTTGTGCAGTAAAGTGTGGTGGCCCGGGATGGAAAAGGATGCTGATAAACACTGTAAAACCTGCTATGGATGTCAGCTAGTCAGCCGTCCCAGCCAACCAGAGCCTATCAGGAGCACAGCATTGCCGAATGAGCCATGGAGATATTTGGCAATTGATTTGGCATTGATTTCGTGGACCAGACATCGCAGAGTAAAGCAAAATGGCCCCAGGCAAATGGAGAAGTTGAACGCCAAAATAGCTCACTTCTCAAAAGGCTCCAAATCGCACATGCTGAAAAGAAGGACTGGAAGAAAGAGCTGAATGTTTATCTTACAGCGTACAGAAGCCTACCTAACTTGATGTCTGGCGTAAGCCTCACCGAGTTGCTCTTCGGACGGAAAATACGCACCAGACTCCCTGAGCTGAGCGATGTACATGTTGAACAAGAAGTGCGCGATAGGGACAATGAATAAAGGAGTAAGAACAAAGTGTATGCTGACATGCAGAGAAATGCGAGGTACTCTGAGGTACTCCCTGGAGATCAAGTACTAGAGCAACAAGAGAGGAAAAACAAGCTCACAACCCGTTTTGAACCAAGTTCATACACTGTGGTAAACAGGCATGGGAACAGCTTGATCGTACAATCTCCAGGAGGAGCCCAATACTCACGCAATGCATCTCATGTAAAGAAACTGCTAGAGAATGGTGATACACATAATGATACACCAAGTGTAGATCGCAACGCCTTACATTCTTTTTCGTTTTTTTATTGTTCTTGTGCAAGAGTGCTTATTGTAGTAAAATTTTGTGTGCGCTTTCTTTGTGTCATTGCGTAACGTTGCGTATCGTAGCATGTATTTAACCGTATTGTTCATCGTAGTTTGGTGCAGTTTTGCAGTGTAGTTTCGTCGAGTGTAGTTTCGTATATTTGTTCTTTTCGCTTCGTGCAGTTTGTTCGCCACTAGGCAGAATCTATAACCTCGCAACAAATGTAAGTTTTGTATCATGTAGCTTTCTTCGTTGTTTTCGTTGTAGCTTTCCTTACGTATTAAGTCTAGTTATATTGTAATAGTTTTCGTTCGCTGTTTTATTTGCAGTTTTTAACCGTACCGTGTCGTTTCGTTCCGCGTTAAAAATTGCGCTAGAATTAGTTAGTATTAGTCGCCAGTGGCAGTTACACCAAGTATACCAGAAGCGGTGATGACTGGAGAGCCCCACAAGCAGGATAACCTGACCCCACACCAGGATGTGGTGATACCAGAACCAAATGTTGTTGAGACTGAAGTTCCACTTAGAAGGTTCCAGAGACACAGAGTGGCCCCAAGCTATCTCAAAGACTACTGTACTTAAACTCTAGACATTGAAATCTCAGAGACATTGTTGACTTTGTTGCTAGTCCATGTTTATGCCTATTGGACCAATTATCATTTTATTTCTAATTCTGCTAAATGTTGTTGTTTCTATCTAAATAGGGAGGGATGTAGTGTATTAGGACCCAGACTCCCCCTGTTGTTGTTGAGGACCACGAGTTGTATAGGCAGAATAAAGCCATCGTTAAGTCTAATCCGTTGTAATCCTCCTATTTGCCAACCAGATCGGTCACAACAGAAGATTAGCCCCCAGTCTCCAAGACGATTAGACCCCAGTCTGCTTACTTTACAGAACGAGTCTTCAGCTTCTACATTCACTATTGACTGTTAGGTTCGAAGTGAAAACAAAAGAGTGGTTAGTACTGTAAATAATTAGGGGCTAGTGTCTAGTGTTGTTGGCTCAGCTGAGCCGGGGTTGGAAATGCGTGAAAATAGGTTGAGCATGTTGCTAGCAGAAAAAGATCATATGTAAATTTCCTTTTGGTTTGAAAAAGAAACTTTGAAAAAGCTTCATTGTTTACAGATTTCTTTTAATGCAATGTGATTGAAGATCGATTTAAGCGGACTAAAAAGTCAGTGGCTAGTTGAGCCTTCTTCTTTTGGCTTTATTGGCAAACAGTCGGAAATATAGTGACGAATAGTGGCAAATAGGTGTGAGAATACAGTCGAACCTCGATTATCCGGACTCGGTGGGACTGGGGTAAATAGTCCGGATAATCGAATTTTTCGGATAATCGAAAAAATATGAATGTTAATGAGACAACGTAAACAAAAGAAATAAAGATAACACATTTTTAATTCTAGAAGTTTGCTTCAATGACTGCATATACATGTTTGAAGGTCTATCACGTTCAGTGTTTATAAATAAGAACCTATTCATCTCTTCTAAAAAACTGAAACATACTAGTGTGCTTTAAAGTCTTATAACGAGATCGCATGGCGAAGTCCATCATACGGCGATTTCTGAATTTTTTCACCTCCTAAAGTTTTTAACATCTAAGGTCATTAATATTCATGAAAAAAACGGGACCAGAGAAAAAGTCCGGATAATCGAAAAGTCCGGATAATCAAGGTTCAACTGTAATGACAAATGACGGAAATTTGGTACCCAGTTTGTCACAGTCAACCTCGCAGCAACATGGGATAGGAAGGAAATTATGTTACTTATTTGAATAACTTATGTAAGACATAGCTTATTGTTTTTGATTTTTTTTTTCACAGTACTGGCTTGGTTTAATTTCTCTGTGTCTATAACTCCAATTGATCAACGAATCCACTATTCACACTATTCACACTATTTGAGACTATTCACACCATTCAAGACTACTGGCTATTCAGGTTTTCTGGACACACCTTTGTTGGCAGCCTGGAGGAGAACTGTTTGTCAAGCTTTAAATACCAGTTTCGGAACCAAACAGTTGGATCCTTTGTATAGCGTACTTGTGCCACCGTAAGGTTTCTGATTGGGTGTTGAATAAAGCAGCTGATTGGAGGATACTAATTATCCAATAGCATAAAGGATATTTCAATCCTGTTGGAGTGTGAAGGTATCACATTTACTCCATTGCGTGCTTAGCGGAGAAAAGCCACGTGCATTGTGCTAACTTATGTTAATTTGAGGTGAGAAAGCAACTCTATCAAGTGAATCATATCGCGATCTACCTTACGATGTCTTCGATCTTCCTTACGATATGTATTTCTTGTCAGCAATCAGTTTGACCCCGTCAAGAAGGCCCCCAGTGTGATGGCTGCTTCCGTTGGCAGCACCACACCTGCAATAAAGGTTTTTTTTTTTTGCCAAATTTTACTCATGTAAGTGGAATACTTGAATTTCTTTGATTTGATAGTTGATTGTGATAGTTGATAATCTGGTTATAAATCTTCATAACAAAAACCACACAGGAACTGATGTTGTTTATTGTCATCCTGTCAACAGATATCCTTGAGCCTGGAGAGTTTAACCCTGCAGGCGACTCGTTTGATCAGCCTACAGAGCCTTCGACCATCTCGACCATTGAAGTAACCGATGCAGAATCCACCATCCGATCAACACTGTATGAACCTGCAATCCAGCCATCCATTGACGAATCCACCACTGAGGGACCAACACCCTATTCAGTTGAGCAAGCAGACTAGACACTGGCATTTCGTATCATGGAGGGTGCAACCGAGAGGGGAAAGCAAAACCTTACTGACAGCTGTGGACTCAGCTATAACGTCAAGAGGCAGCGCCTTAATGCACCCAACTGGCAGTGCACTGTTCGTCCTGTGGTAAGATTTTTTGTGCAATAACTTACAATAATATAAGTTATATAAGTTATAGTTATCTAAACTTCAAATTGAAATTGCATAAAATTGTGTGAGTAAGTAAGTAAGTAAGTTAGAGTCTTATGCATTTTATGCTTATTATAAATCTTTTAGATATCGATAGTCGGTCATGAATCAGAGTTACTAGCACATCTACACTCTTTTATAAGAATATATTTTTTACAGCACATATTCTCATAAAATAGATTCTTATAGAAAAAAAGAGCGTATGTGTTAGATAGGTAATATAAATTTCTTTCCCGCAAAACCACTGTCATGCAGAGACTGAGTAATATGTTCGAGTTTGGCACAACCATGCTGCACCAATTGGTGGTATGTTAGCCATGAAAATCAAGTACCTAGTTAAGAAGGAAGCTGAACAAGACGTCTTCAGACCTGCGTCGGAGGTAGTCAACGATGTGCTCCTCAATTAAGCAACAGATGCTTCTGTCCCTGCCTTCCCCACGTTGACAGCCTGCAGAGAACCGCTGACTGCACCCGCCAGCAGTTACAACTGCAAGACCCAAAGGACTTAAATTTCAACCTACAAATGGAGCATATCCCAGATAGCTTCTTCCATGAAGATGTTAAGGTAAGCATATGGCCGTTGGTTTAAGTAACTTCCGGTATCTTTGTAACAACTTGGATCACTTCACCATTCATGTCTCGAAGGGAAACTGTGCATTTTCTAGCCAACTAATGACCAAACATTATATATTGTGCGTTTCAGATACGAGGGCACCAATACCTGGTATTTACATCAGATAAGCAACTGTAACTGCTCCAACAGTCTAAGATGTAGTAAATAGACAGAACTTTCAAACTGTGCCAAAAGCCGTTTATTCAGCTGCTGACCCTAAACGCCTTTGTAAAGAATGATGATCACATGAAGCAGGTGCCACTAATTTTCATCATAATGTCTGGCAGAAAACGGCGAGACTACAAAGTACTCCTTGATGCGGTAACATCCATCCTCCCTCATCCACCGGGAGTCACTAAGGTATGCTGGATTTCGAAAAAGCTGTTTGGAGCACTCTCCGCCAGAAACTCCCAGATGTGCAGCTTAAAGGGTGTTCATTCCACAGGACAGAAGCCCTATGGAGAAAGGTAGGATCATATGTCAAGCTGTTAAATAATTATAAGTTTGCAGTTTCAAAATTCTCAATTGGCTAAATAAATCGGCAATAATTCACTTTATTCTTGTTAGAAGTGTTTAGGGTCAGCAGCTGAGTAAACGGCTGGCAGCACAGTCTGAAATTCTGTCTATGTACCACTTGCTACCACAGATAAGAGAAATCCAAACTTGCACAGTCAGGTTCAGAACGAAACTAGTTTATCATTAAACCAACAGAATATTACATTTTGCTTTCTATTTTAGGTACAAGGGCTTGGAATCCAAGATGCCTACAGAAATGACGGCGGTACCCACCAATTCATAAGGCAAGTTATGGCTTTACCATACCTCCCTGCTGAAAAGATTGAAATGAGATTCCATCAACTCCAGCAGCAAGCAACTGTCAGACCCTTACAGGATTTCTGCAGTTACATGCATGAAAATTGGATCAGCAGCCAGACCTTCCAGACACAGACGTGATGCATGTTTCTGGAAGCCATCAGGACCAACAATGACTTATAGAGTTGGCACAATGGCCTGAACCGGTGCACCAAAGGACATTCGCAACTGCCCCTTTACACCTTCATCCAGCTATTACACCAGGAAGCTACCTTGGTTAATATACAGATCCGTCTGGTTTCAGACAAAAAGCTCAAGAGACACCAGGGTCGACCTACAGAACCATGCACAGAAGAGTCTTTGACCTCTGGAAACAATATGAGGACAGCCAAAGGAATTCGAAAGAGCTTCTGGAAGCCTGTTCTCACCTTGTCCAACCCATGTAAATTTTAATAAAGATTAGCAACCACACACAAAAACAGCTCCTTTGGGAGCCACCGACTCTATAAAAGTCAATTACCAAGAGCTGTACTTCTCTTCATATTTACTAAGACTGGGGGCTAATCGTCCAGGGTGAATTGTCTTTGGGGCAAGTTGTCTGACATTCTGGCTACAGTGTTAAGCTAAAAGTCTGCTGAAGAAGAAACTTAGGATCGACGAGGGTGAAGGAAACAGCCACACAAGATTTGGCGAGATTTTCTTGATTTCAACTCAACATTCATGTCTGGTTCAATCACATCACTTGACTGTTGGTAAATCGTCCGCCATACTGGAATAGCCGACAATTTCCGATAATCACTGGACTAGCGCCCCTTGGGGATACCTCCAGCCAATAGGATTTAGGCACAACCAAGTAAATGATGGTAATGTGAGCATGTGCTGCACACCAATTATAATATAACAACTAAATCCTACTCTGAACGAAAGAAAAAAAATATAAAAAACATAAAAAATTAGAAGGCATTGAAAAAAAAAGAGAACATTAATAAAATGAATTGCCTTAACACATATAGAAATAAATAGGACAATTAATTAAAAATTTAAAGCCAAATAACGAACATAAAGGAAAGAAATAGATAATATGGCACAGAGATATAGATAATGCATATTAAAATAGTTTAAATATTAACTGAAGGCGCACCATAAGTACCACCCTTTCACAGATTCGAACCTAAGTCAATTTTCCCAAGGAATAGTTATGGGTGGGTTGATATAATTTATAGTAATTTAACTTAAAGTAGTGCAGTTTGGGTTGAATTCATACAATTTAGTATGAAATAGAATGAGCGTGCAGCGCAAGTTCGAATTGAGTCAAAAATATGATTTCAAGAAAATAAGAAAATAATGAGAAATTGCTCACAAGTTACTTATGCTCTTGTCTTGTTATCCCAACTGACTAGAGAGCTTTCAAAAAGCTTCTTAGCACCATTTCTCACATGTCAACTGACAAAACCTGCTTGTATAGAGGTCTTCTATTTTCATATGTTCCATGCCAGAACTCCCAAAGTTCGTGAATAACTGTTCTCCATTCATTGACATCAAGACTGTGAGAGTTGTTTCAATTCATCTCTGGTGACCCATGGATCATTCTGGGGGAAAATATGCATGATGTCATCTATGATCAGACCATTTAACCCACAGAAGTAATTCCGAATTACTCTCTCTCTAAGAAAACATCGTTCATGAGAACTTCTGATAGCTCTAATTACATCTGTTGAAAAAATTCCAAGCCAAGCCTTTCCCTGTTGTGTCCATAATATTTGGTCAATCTTAGCCTTTAGGGCTTGTTTTGTCCCTATGAAAAGGGTACTTACTTGAAAATGAGTGTAAGGCTAACACATCTAGTTTGTTTGAGCCAAGAATTAAGAACAGTGGTCTACTTATACAGTTCAACAGTGAGGCAACGTTAATTCAAAAGTTTACCTTTTCGTGTATCAAATATTGTGCATGAATTATTGTAATTTATCTTAATGTCCAAGAATTCTTTTTGTTCTGTTATAAAAACAATGGATGAACTAATCACGTTAAGAATCTCAAGCACTGAACCTTATCATTTTGTTGGACCCAATTAGATAAGTAATTCAGTCCATGAAAAGTTCAACTTAGAAAATTGTTATTGAACACTCATTTGAAAAAGCTCCGGTCAAGGAACTGAATTTTATTTTGTGAAAGACAAATAGCCAGATGAAGTAAAAGTAAACAAAATTGAAATGTAGTGCCACATAAGCCACAATGCATGGTTGTTATGATACTGTTGGATTTTCATTCATTTATCCCATGTAGTATGAGGAATTTTAAAAGAGCTAGGAGGCTAGGATATGTTTCTGTATTTCCCATTTTGTATTTATTCTTTAAAGAGAAAAAGTAAAGTATTTTTAAACTTTTAGTCTATTGCCTTACCAAGTAATTAATGAAAAGAGTAGGGTAAGAAATTTAGGCTTAGGAAGGAGGATTTTCAATTTAGCACACCAATCTGCAAGACTTAAAAGATGGCTTGGCTAAATACAAAATGTATTACTTTCTTAAACCAAGTAAGTCACATATATGATGAGTGACAAAGCAAGTAGATAGCGGAATTATCACGAGCTCAGGTGGAAATCTGTTAATAATTGATTGTTACATTTTTAAATAAGAAGAAGAATATTTATATGACAGTCTCAGCTGATGGGAAACTTTGGAATCGAGGTGAAACTTCAGAAAGGCAGCATTTATGCACCCCACCCTTAACAGCTATGAACTATGAAAGCCAAGTAACGGAGACAGAATCAACTTGTTGTCACAGATTCCACTTGATTACAGTTCAGGGTGATATTTTAAAAAAATCTAAAGCACTCAAAGAATCCTTTTCATTCTCATATTGGTTTTTTCTAAATATATTTTTCTGAAGATCCAGTTGGTAGCGGAAGCTACTGACAGTGTTTTCATGCTCGATATCAGAACATTGGCATGGTAGTCAAGCACTTGATTCACAATGATACAGAGAAAGAAAGGGCTAAAAAAATTTAATTCACGAAGCAGAGGTTTTGCATGCGTTAGGTGACCACACAAGGCTTCCACTGTACTTTGGTGTCATTACAGCTAGCCAACCATCTTGCCTTGTGACTCAATTTCATGGCATAAATGATCAAAGTATAACGCTCAAGCAGCAGACACTGGCAAACTTACTCCACAAGATTGCATAAATATATTTTTTGAAATATGTTATGCTCATGAACATGTTTATAGCCAAGGCTACTTACATAATGACATTAAAGCCAACAATGTGGTTCTTGAACGTCAATCGGCCTCGGAGAAATTTTTCCCCGTCCTTGTTGATTTTGGCAGGAGCACAGTGGCAGCAGCAGTCAGGGAAAGCTATTTGGCTCCAGAGGTGTTGAAGGAACGACTTTACAGTGAAGCAAGTGACATCTATTCCTTGGGAAGGATGCTTAAAACAGTAGCTTCAATGGTTAGATTTTAACGGACAATCCGAGCATTGGTAAAAGAAGTGACGTCAGAAACACCATCACTGAGACTCCATCTTGATGATTTTATGCAAAAACTTAACACAGTTAAATTCTAGGTATCATATTTTGAGAGAATCTTTTAAGAAAAAGTAGCCAAAATGCAACATAAAGTGTTGCTCCAATTTAGTAATTAGGCTTCTTATTTCCTTGTTCTGTAATGAAGGTTATTGTCTTCCCCATTGGCATATTTCGAGGATTTTTCCCTTTTCCAAAAATAAGGGAGGGGTGGCTACACCAGATATTGGTTACGCAGATTATGATGTACACAAAAAAGAAAACAAAATGTCAAATTACTAACTCATTGCAAAACTGTCATGTTTGTCCCTAAGTTTCCTTACGGAAAAAAAACTGTTGTATTCACATTGAGCTCCTTCAAACAGTTATTCAGTTGTTAATTCGTGTTAAATTGTGTTAATCTTAATAAAGCTTCCCTGTTGCATTCAACACTGAAGACTTCTCTCTGTATCAACTTTGACATGTTAACTTTCTTTGTTTGGCGAAATTGGCAGGAAAAAAAATTCAGGCCGTGAAGAATTCGCTTGCATTTCAAGTAAAAACAAATCACACCCCCACTATGGCTTTAATTATAAAGTCCCGGTTTACAGTTGCATTGTCTAAACAGGTAACTGAAGTTCAATTTACAAGCCCGAGATCAAGCGGCGAGATTTGCCTGGCTACATTTTCATACATTGCATTTACCCGTCGTTTGTTGTAGTATTTTGGCTCGAAAACAAAGAATTTTAATGGGCAAGTCTGCACTAGAGTGATTATCCTTAACCTGTGAAACAAACAGTATTAGTTAGTTGTAACAGTACTTACTAATTAGTATTTGTGCGTGGTACACAAAAGACAGAATGACAAACAAAAGAGTTACTAATTATAACAGAATAGTAAAAACTTAATTGAAGTAGTAGCGTGTACTATCCCACTGTCTATTTCACAGGTCAATTAAAACCATGTTTAGGTAGCCAAGAGGAGATGAACTTCCACCCGCGGTACACACCCATCACTGACGTGTGCTCTAAAAGTTAAGAATGCAAATCTGTTTGTGCTGAGCCTAACTCCATACGCTATTGTCCATGGGTGCAGTTATTCTTTGCTTTATATAGGTCTCACAGTCTTCATAAACTACTTCCAAGCAAATTCCAACCTGGCTACAATCTGAGAGAACAAAGAACATTTATTTGTCCGAGGTGTAAAACTGAAAGATGCAAGAATAGCTTTCTCTTAAATTACGTTTATCGTAGGTGATAATTAGATATTAATTTGTTTCTTATTTTACATAGGAATTCGACGCATGCTTGTAATTTTGTCATTCTGTAACAGTTTTTAATTAGGAAATTAATTAATTAATTAGTTGCAATTTAGTAAGCTAGAAATTTCGCGTTTGTAAACCTTATCGCAATTCAGCTTTTGGCTGCAAGTTCTTAAGGTGAATAAACTATCTATCTATCTATCTAGAATTTATTTGGTCGTCGTATTTATACTCACATCCGCGGTACGGCAAACTACAATCAGATTTTTTATAAGGAGGGCCTCAATCTAAATAGTTCGATCTAAATAGTTCTTATTCAGAGAAACCCTTAAAAATAGTATGTTACAAGGCATTTTAATGCTGAAACCGCTCAAAGTAAA